CTACTAGAGCCTTTATGTCCCACACATATCGACCTAGTTTTATACAACACACTATAGTTACTTAACACTTGCAGGCAATAGGTGAATCTGTGCCCAGTTAGGTCATGTGACAATAATCAATTGATTTTCTACATGCGATGATCACTAGTATTTTGATATTGTATTACTATAACATGAACAAGTAATTATTAGTAGTGTAACTATAACGCATAATAAAGTTATACATAACTACATACAAAATAAAGATTCGTGACTTTCTTCAGCGATACAATATCAGTAAAGTAATGCTAAAATGCAAAAAGACATAATTTACTAAACAAATTAAACTATGTATTTGTTCTTAATAAGTATTCAATAAACTGGAATTTCATGTCTTTATTAATCATTTTTTGAAAGTTTAAATTGTTTTAAACATGATAAAAAACAGGAATAATGTGAAACTTTAAAATGCATAAAAAACTTTTAATAAGAAATAATATATAGCACTAATTTGTTTAGTAAAAAATGCATCTTAATCTGTTGTAACAATAGTAAATTGAAATTGAATTAAATTTTAAAAATTTCAATGTAAAGGCATTCAAATTTTTAAAAATTTTCAATATAAAATGATAGATTTTTTTTAACATTTTTTTTCATTGAAAATCCAGCCATTATTTTTACTAGGATCACATTAAAACTTACTATTTACTTCCTAAGGCCTATTTTATACCATTAAGTGTATTCTCTAAAATAGTCTAATTTAAGTTATATAGGCATTTTTTTAATGTTTTTTCTGTGCTAGCATAATAGAATAGTCAATTTCTTGCAATTCAGCATTATTAATTTGTGAAATTTTTCCTTGTTTCTCTTGATGCACCTCTTTAGACTATGACTTAAATTTTTTCTACGTGAAGCAGCAGTAACTTGGACTTTTATTCTATTTCCACAACATTGATAACTCTTACTATTGGTTCAACCTGCATTCCCATCACAAGTATGAAGAAAAGAAGTTACAGCTGAATGAATGTATATATCTTGCATATCTCTGTATCGTTTATATGACTTGACAAACTTTTAAATGCTATTATTTAATGCAGAGTCATCTTGTTTCAAGAGATTTTCTAGATTGCAGCAAAACCAATGAAGTTTATTTATTGTGCTTTTATTATTATTTGCATTATTACCATTACTACTAACATCATCACTACCATTGTTGTCAACACTGTCACTACTATTATTACTGTTATTTTTAACAGCATTTGAAGATTCTGGTAAAGTGAACATATTTTTATTATCAGAACTATCAAAACCATTACACTCATTGGACCTATTGCTATTTATGTTAATTGAAATTTTTTTGATGCTTTGTTCTTTATCAGTTATTTTACTTGCATATTTTTTTTCAAGTTTTTTCTGATGAAGATCAGTATAAAAACTAAGAGATTTGCACCTTTCACCTAATGCTAAGTAAGCATAATCATATCTTTTTTCTGCAGATGTTATAGGGATTTAATTTAACCCATATACGTTATAATGTTTAGTGATAAAAGATTGATGCATACATAGCGCTCTCATTTGATTACATTCACATGTTCCGAGTTTTATATCCACAAGATACCAAATGTTTGGATCTCTACTACTCCTATGCCTATATATTAATAAATCCAGATTTACAACCTCTATTGCATTTTTTGTTCCAATTAACCATCCAGAAAGTTGAAAGCAAAGGGCAATGAAGTTATTTAATTTGTTATGGGCCACAGCCAACAATCTTCAAACATAATAAAGATTCATAGTGTTAATAATGGACTGAAAAATTTGTACTATGTTATATGCTTATACCTGTTTAAAAATGATTACTTTCATTATTCTAATCTCAGCCTCAGCGATGTTATTAGTATTATTATTATGAGTTAGAAGCAGTTGGCGAAAGGCAATGGCCCATTCATGGCAACATTCCTAAGAAACTTTGAAGTAATTTTGAAAGGTCAGGTACTTTTGATAAACATTACTTTTTATTAAGTTTGAATATAATATATTAAGTGCAATTTCTATTTTTGAAAAGACCATTTTTTTAACATGATCAATAGAAATGCATGATCATTATTATGGATCCCATGCTTACTGTCCCAGAGCCACCTCCATGTTGCCTGCAAGAAATGAAAGACGCAAAGAAGCAAAGTTGCATTTGGCTAGGTATTGTGCAGAGCTATTTTTTTTGCCTTACAATCATCTGTCATAACTATCTGTGACCCAATAATGGGCCTCCATCTACTAAATGCCATTAATAGAACCATTTTTTTTACCATCTCTAATGCCTTAGTAAAAGTAGCTGCTGTTTTATCAGATATAAGAATTGCAGCAAGTGGTAGACCACCAACTGGAGTACTGGTAGAAAGAATCGGCAGAGGGGTATTAAGTGTATCAAGCCCAGCTGTTGTATCCATGTATACCAATTCTCCTGATTCTTGTAACTCATAGCATTGCTTCATAAGATTAGTTACAACAACAAGGATGAAGAGTTGTTCAGGGTTATTTTGGTTTAAAGCAATATATTTTTGCATTCATGCATTTTCTTTTCCATTAATATTAAATTCTTTAACCTTCTCTTTTAACTGACTAAACATGTTATTTCCATTTTGAGCATCTATATATTTGTTATAATATTCTTGGTAAAGGTATTTTACATCATTTTTATGTGGAAATAATGCTCTGTCAGCTATTATTTCTTCTTCATTTTCATATTTTAGTTGCATTTGTTCCCAATAAGTATGATACGTGCTATTAGGTCCATGTCCAACATCAAAAAGTTTAATGATTGCATTTTTAGTTTCATTAGATAATGGTTGAAAACTTGTGATATGACTTGATTTTAGAGGATGGTTGTGATGAAAAAGTAAGTTGACAATGCATAGATAGAGATCTTTTTTTTTTAATAGTTAAATTTTTATTGTTGCTAGACAATTTGTGTCTTGTATTCATGTACTTCCTACACAGTCTACATTATTATGAATACTGTTTTCACAGTCTACATCGTTATTCAGACTGTTTTTACAGTATACATTGTTATTCATACTGTTTTTACAGTATACATTGTTATTCGTACTGTTTTTATAGTCTTCATCATTATTAATTATGTTTTTACAATTGACTCTTCTCTTTTGTTTTAGCTTCACAACATAACTGTAAATACAATAAAGTCATTTTGAAAGAATAAAGCAAATGCCCTTAACAGTACAACTTTGACTTTCTTTCAATGTTACTTTATGAAGGTTCATAAATTGTTGAAGCCATAATTTAACCTTATCAATTGTTTTAATATTTATACAAAATTCACTTTTAAAAGGTTTTTCATAAGCACTTAGGAATTCATATGGTGAAATTTGTTCAATTGATTCTACGAAATACTTGTAGTTTGAAGATAATAAACTTTTTATAACAGAATCAAAAGTGTCTATAATTTTAATATTTAAAGTTCTAGAATAAGAGAGATTATTTAAGATTAATTCCATCTTAGTAATCTGACAAGTGATATTGATATAATCAAGAATCAAAACTAAAAATTTTTAAAGTGAAAAAATCAAGGTAAAAAAAAAAAAAAAAAAAAAAAAAATACTATATAGTGATCATAAAATTAATGACATAATAATTATGAAATGATCATTAAGTATGCATAGAAAATGTAAAAATAATAATGAAGTTAATAGAGATTTAATATAATACAAAGTTTATTTCGATTACATATGTTTCATGCTTTTCAAAAACATGAGTACCTATAATGTTTTTTTTGACATTCATTTTTTGAATAATATATGTAGAAAAACAAACATGTTTTCTAAATACCACCAAATTAAGTCTACAGTTGACTCTCTAGAATTGTATATTGTTGAGGAAAGTGCACTTCTAGAATACACATTTATGGATAGAGATTAGTTTCAACCACGTTATGTTAACAGATCAAATGGAAAGCATTTGTGATGGGTCAGCAATACAAAAGCTTAAATTATTATAGTAATTTTTAATTACTAATTATATCATTATTTCATAGTTAATATTTAGATCAAATTATAAAAGAGGTGAGTTCTTATTTAATGGTCAAATTTTTTGGATATTTAAAGTTAAAATATTATATTAGTATTATATTATACTTTATATTATAGTTTTATTCTAGATATTTACAAATATCTGATGAGTTTATAGATTGTGTATGATTAAAGAATAGTGAACTTAAAGTATGTAGACCAACTCAATATGATGCAAAAAATGAATACATATGATATTTGGTGAATTTGGTTTTAAAGAAATAAATATAATTGATAATATGCAAATTACTACTAGTGTCAGATATGTGACCCTTAGAAGATAACATAAAAATGAACTTATTAAAGAATTTCAACTTAAAGCTACAAAATACGAAGATGTAGTTGAGTGAATAGCTTTTAACTGATTAGATAAAGCATGTATGAAAATCAGATATTATATTAGATTATGCATGCTGTTAGTTGAGATATATAAAATTTTAGTTTTTTTTGGTATTGGATTGCTTTTATTTTATCTTTTTATTTATTTATTTATTTATTTATTTTTTTGAGATAACACTAATTCACATTAATTGTGAAATTCAAATTACTTCAAGAATTCTTTCGTTGATGTGTTGCTACAATTCATTACAATTTAAGCCATTATGTATTACAGTAATGGCATTTTAGATGCTTGATTCTAGGTAAAAATCCTCGCAAATTTACAAACCATTTGCATTCTAGAGAATAATTTAAATATTTTTATTTACTTATTTATTTTGTTATTTTACAAGTACTAAACTAATATATTCTAAACTTTTTCAATGCCAATTATTATAGGTTTTATCTTTTTTTTGGTCAGTTCTGAAATAATGTCATTGCTAATTTTGTTTAAACAATTAAATATATATATATATTCTCTTTAGTTCTTGATGTCTTTGGGCATTTTTATAGAGATTAAACTTTTTTGTTTATGCTTCAAGCCTAATAATCAAGCTGGAATGCTTAAATTCAAAATCATTATTCAATATAGAATATAAGTAGGCTTTAAAGAATATTTTTGTTCTAGAAATATATATAAATATAGTCAAAATTTATGATTAACGAAGTTAAATTTAAGCAAAAATATATGTATTTTGATTGAAAGAAGTTGCACATTTAAAGTCAACTGTGACTTTATATAGAACTTTTGGAAATTTTCTTTTGACATATAAAATGTATATTAATTTATTATCTTTATTTTATTTTAACAGTAGTTAAAAGATCGCCAGTTTATGTTGTAACTACATTTTGAGATATTACTGCACATGTTCTCTAATAGCTGTATTTAAAGTTAATCAAACTTTCATTTTATTTTTGAATTTACAAAAATAAAAGTATAGAACAAACATTGGTTTTTTTCTATCTGTTTAGAATACAGCAAATTTACTTTTGAATCATTTTAAAAAAGTATTGCTTAACTATAGCTTTATTCAAATTTGTGATAAGTATGTTATACAGCAATGTTGGCAATTTCTGTGGCCAACTGATTTTTTTTGGTCTTTGACTGGCCAAATTAACTAATGGCCAATAGCCAAACTTCAGACAAAAGTTGCTAACTTATATACTATTAACCAATCATACAGTATTGCTTGCCTTGTTATAAGAATGTTTGGCCATTTTAGCTAAATAATTTTTTTCATCAATTTGGCTATTGGCCATTCAAGTAATCAAGTAACAGCACTGTTATACAGTGAACAATTATGAATTCAATCGATTTTATGTTCTCAAAAAATTTTTTAATGTCATCAATTTAGAAAAATTTGATAGCATCAAAAAAATTTATTGTTCTCAAATCAAGAACATAATTATTTTAATAAATTATGTTTATAAATTTGATTAGTGCTTTCAAAGAATATTGAGAACGTTGAATTTATATGGTGTGAATGAACCATACGGAATGTATTACAATATATAGTATAACAATAATGAATGACATAGTTCTGTAATACAACTAAAAAATAATGCAATTCAGATAATTGTTGTGATCAAATATTAGTGTCAAAAAAACCTCCATATCTTTAGTTTTTTATTAGTTTTCTACATTATAATGAACTTGATAATCTGTTCCTTAAATAACTGATTCTGTGATTCTGGTCATAATTGCACATCACTGAAATCTTTTATTTTGCTCAAATTTCCTTTTCGCTATATAAAATATATTAGGCATGTGTTATGGTTACACTACATCAAATTACTAATGATCATCACATATAGAAAATTAATTGATTATTATCACATGACCTAACTGGGCACAGATTCACCTATTGCCACTTGCAGTTACAGGGGTTACCTGTTTAACCACTATGTTACACTATTTCTATCCTTGTAAAGTTTACTAGAACTACAGTACCCATCTTTCTGGCATTTTCTCCATCATCTTCTACTAGCCACAACTTGGAGCTGTCAGTTTCATTCCAGACTACCAATCCAGATGGCCCAGTATGGTATACTTCTATATTCTTTTCCTCTAGTGAACCCAACAGCCTGGTTGGTTATATGCTCCTTTACACATATTTTGCCATCCAGTTTTAATCTTCGGTTCCTATAAAGGCATTTCATGGGCTTCAACCAGTCCAATAATACTGTTGAAAGTTCATGTTACCTCTTTACTCAAGAATTTCCAAGTGGGTTTCTGTCACTTCGGTTTTTTAGTCTTCTACACCCAGTGGTCTTATTGTGAGTTTGCACTAAAGTTTTATGCAACATTGGTTAACATTCCTCTATGTATATGTAACATTACACTTTGCATAGATGCTTTGAGCTTCCAAAGTTTGGAGAACCTGACCTGTTGTACCTGGGTAACAGCCACATGAGGCCAACTGATCAACAGGAGACAATTACCATAATACAGATATAATTTTCAAATTTTGTTGTAAGTGGGATTTGAATCTTAGACCTGCCACTTGAAGGATGACAACCCAACTACTACACTAAGATCACCATCCTCTATAAAAAATTTTTATTAAAATATAATAAATAATATTTTAGTTAAAATATTAAAATATAATCAATTTATTAAAATTTTATTATTTTTATTAACCAAAAAGTAGTTTTTATATTATATTTAATCTTAAATTTTAATTATTTACAATACTTTAGCCCTATTGTGTTATAGTATTATAAATTAAATTTTTATAAATAAAAGTAGATTATTTCTTACAAATAATATTTAATTTATTTTATATATAATTAAAAAATTTTGAATAACAATTTTATATAAAATAATAATTAAAAATTAAATACTTTTTAAACTTTATTTACTTATTTTATAATGCACTTAATAGTTACTTATAACTATGTTAAACTATATTTTTTTTTAGACTTAAGCAGTCATGCTAGTACTTTATTAAGATTCTTGAAATTACTTTTGCAATTACATAGATTTACCTAACAACTA